ATTGTTTCTTTGCTGGCTATTTTGACAATCTTTCAAACGCTAGAAATGCTGTTTTTTTCTCATCATTCTGCCCTTTCACATGTTAATGTGCAGTCCTGTAGAGCTGGATATCTGACTGGTCAGTGCTCAGCTCTGGTCTGATTTTCAAGGGAGTTCTGGCCCTTCTGGATACCCTGGGAAAGACTGAGGTTTTGGCTAACACATTCGCAGGGGCAAGGAGCCCTCTCTCACACTCTAGTAGTCATCTCTATACGTCATAGACTGTGTGTACAGGGAGCAATGATGTCCCAGCTGGCAGGAGACAACTGATGAATTTGCATCACTACATCACCCCCATCTTCTCCAGATCCCCTCTTCAGACACAAACAGCTCTATCAGCTAAGTCCAGAAGTCCAGCCAGCCCAGTAGCCTGTCTCCGAAAATGGCCAATAGAGGATGTGCAGGAAAAAGTAGGAAGATGAAGTAGTCAAACGGTGATACCTCCCCAGAGGGAGGCAACCTGGTCTAGTGGAGGGTGTCCCTGCCCGTGGCTGGGGTGTTGGAACTGGATGATATTTGAGGTCTCTTCCAACCCAAACCATTCTATGAGTCTATGAATATTCTCCAACCCTCCATTAAACTGTGTTTCAAGGTCTTCCTCATCTAGACGGAAATCTTTTGTGTTTAGTAGCTGCAGATGGATTTTATTCCATGAATACATCCCATCATTTTGTAAATGTGTGCAACCATCCCCCGTGTCCCATGGCAAGGAGCTGCAGAGCTTACTTACTCGCAGATCCATCACAGACCTGTGTGCTGCTCTGGGTAACAGGATCCAATTCCCTCCTTGCTCATTGGATTTCTACATCAGTTTGAGACAAGCCTGTCCTGCAGACAGAGGTTTCACTGCAGATGTATAGACACAGGCAGATGTATTTGTATGAATATACATACTAGTATGTGTAATTATGGCTGCAGGGACTTGATATTTGGTTGCTGACCTCCACCTCTGTGCATGCTGCCATCACGTCATGGCTATTGGTACCTGAGCTAATTATATGACTGTTTTCTCTACATGATACAGTTTTACTGATTCTGCAACAAAATCAGTCTCTGCTTTTCATAAGCAACGAAGATTTGAGTATATAATAGTGGAAAGCCTACATTATTCATCACATCTGACTTTTGCTAGAGTGACGTGGGAATTTGGAGGTGTTTTAAAATGAGGGGAAGGGTAGCTGGCCTTTAACTAAGACTGCACAGCACAGAAAAACACCTTATCACCTTAAGAAGAAGCCTTGGTTCCTTTTATGTGTTTTTCCTCAGTGCTGTTTTTCACCAACAATTTATTCTTTCAGTGCCTGCCCAAACTTTCTCCCAAAGGCCCCATCAAGTTCTCATGTCTACTAGGATATTTCTTAGCTCAATTTCTGTCCCCATCTGGAGAAGGATAAATTTTGCCTTTATATAGATATATATATGGATTCTGAGACACTATCTTTCCTCTCTGAGTCCAAGGACTTTTTCATTCCCTTTGCAATCTCCTGGGGAGTTTCATAAGACCCTTAAGATTTTTTCTGCTTGAAAGGTCCAGACATGAGCTGCTGTCTCACGAATTGGCAAGTTAGTCCGTGGCACAAGGCCATGAAGAACACCTGCACCCCCTTCTCTATGGGAGGGTTAACATAATATAAAAGATAGAATAGGGTCTAGAAATATCATTATCTATTATATAGTTACATGATGTCTCTAAACATATATACAAACACGCATGAATATCTATGTATATCTTCTGTACAGGCATGCATCCAGCAAATTTTTGTCCCTATTTAGGATGATACCAGTGTAGCTATTCCAGCAAAAATTATGCCTGTCACCAACACCCTGCACATGTCCTGGTTTCCGTGGTTCTTTCAGTCCCCAAATCCTTACGCTCATGTTCCTGCCAGCTTTAATCCAGCAGTATCCAAATCCTGACGCTCCTCTTCCCTCTCCTCATACCAAGTGCAAAATGTATGCAAGCAGTTCCCACTCTAATTTTATAGCGTTCCTTTTTTTCAGCAAAGCTTCGGGCACTGCGACAGCAGGGGCAGGAGGACTTCCCAGATCTTTGCCTCCTTTCAGGAGAGGTGTTAAGATTGCTCAGGGCTCAGGGCAGTGCAGATTTGGGAGGTAACGTGCTGGGGCCTCGAGAAATCTCTAGGGAGATGCTTTGAAAAGTCTGCAGGCCGCAGCAGCCCTGAGCGCCTCTGACTTGCCAGCCCCGGGCTTTCCCTGGAGGTGTGCATGCGTCGTGCAAGTATACAGCATATACGTGCCTGCAAGTAGCTGGTGTTTCGGACCTACCAGGTAAATTCTCTGTTGCAACTCTCAAAGGTTCTTTTTCACTTAGTTGCGCCGTGTAAAATTAAACTTGAATGAATAATTACCGCTCTCTACTCGGTGAACTACAGTTAATAGGGACGGAGTATAGTACATTAATCTCTGTATTTATGAGAAAAGACACATTGTTTTGGAGATTCTGGCTGGTTTTGTTTTCATTCAGTATGTTCCTTAGCACATTTATAACAGGCAAATGAGACTCAGAAGTGTGGGGGGAAAATGTCAAGTTCAAGAACCCCTAAACGCGTCCAAGATTTTATACTTTCTGAAGAGAATAAACCACAATGTAAGAGGAACTTACAGCCTCACCATTCGAAGGCAGTGACTGATGGCTCCTGGAGGAGTGAATGGGTTCAGTCCATCATGTCTCAGCCTTCCTGAGGGACCCAGTGCAGTTCCCTGCCTCACTGAACTGCAGATAATGAGAAGATCTTCTCAAGTTTATGAATGGTGATTTCATTTATCCGTGGTTTGGGTACACATTCTGTAACACACCATCGTGCAGAGTTTTGGAGTGAGCATCCACTGCTTTCAACCTCTTTTCTTATATTAACTATATATTACCTTGAATTTGAAAACAAAACTAGTGTTTTGCTCACATTTCAGTGGGAAAATTGTAGTAGTCCTTGTTATTGAATTCTGTCTTTATAACTGCACCCTGCAGCCACTGAAAGCAGGACTCAGTTCTGTCCTGTGTCCACCTCAGAGAGCAAATCCATTAAGCAATTTTGTGCATTTATGAACTGGTCTATTTTCTATAAATTATGTAACTGTGCTGAGTATGTCTGTAAACCAGGTTTTGAACTGTGGTATAGACAAGGACAATTAACTGCAAAGGGTAATTTCAAAACAGTACATTAGATAAATGATATGTTACTAGGAAATGCTCTGTGATAAGGAGAGCATTTTAAAACAACTTGTTCTATAAATTATACCAGCTGTATTACGCATTGTAGTTAATTTTAATTACATCAAAATATGTAGAATTAAAACCAGTTCAATCAGAATGCAATTATAACCTTTCTAAGGGATGATTCTGCTATATAGGCTTTTGTTAGAAAAGAAAAACAAGGAAATGCAGATAAGGACTTGCACATTTTATTTTACTCTACATGAGAAATGTCAGATATGTTGTACTGGATACAATGCCTCAAGTAGAAATGGAAATAGAGTCTCTGATCCTAAAAAGTATTAAGTTTGGGTAAATTATTACTCTGGTCTGTGTTCCAAAAATAGAGTTGAGTGAAATGTTAGAAGTTCTTAAAAGAGGAAATATTAAAATGTATTTCCTTTTCTGTCCCAAAACTATAAAATCACTAACCTTCACCAAGGGGCTGCTTGAGGTACCTGAAATCAATACCTGCACTGACTGATTGATTTTAGTTGCCTTTTAATAGCTGCTAAAATAAAGAGCTCGGGTATCATTGGGGTCTGAAACAAAAAATGCCCTTTGTACCATGGTTTCTGCTTCAGGATTTGAGGTGTCAGCCACAAACCACATGCCGTGGCCCATGCCCAGCTGTGGTGAGAGGCAGCTTTTGGATGCTTCAGGGTGCTTGCTGCTGCTGCTGTTTCTTCTCAGAGCAACCACAGGGTCCAAACCTGAAAGCATCTCTTCAGTCTGCATCCATGCTGGTGTTTTGGTTGGGTCAGGAGTCTGATTTTGACTCTGATGTCCTGGTCTTCCCGACTTGTCCTGCTTCGGTGTCTAGTGCAGCTCTCTGGGGGTGTGGATTCCTTGTAGAGGAAGGGAAACTGGGGGATGTGGAGGAGCACATCTCATGCACTGCCATCCCTTGAAACTCTTCTGTCCGTGGGACTGGACTACAGTCCTAAGTCCTCAAAATGTGCAGGTCCTCAGCATCAGCTGTTGTGCTCCACTGCCTACCAATGTAGAAATAGCTTTCAGGTGTAATTTTCATGTCTGGTTGAAGTTATTTATACGTACAGGTGTCTAAGGTGTCAAATCCTTTCTTACTCAGCAAACATTTAAATACAGATTTAAGCATAAGCCTCTGCTTAAGCAAATCTGGGTTTAGAACTAGACTTCTGAATGTGTTTAAGATTTAGAGCTGGTTATTTAGAGGTTAAAAAGTCTCAGGGAGGCTTTTGGTGGTATTTTCAGGAGTGTTGCCACTCACACTGATGTTTAAACATCCTTTAAAACGTGGTCCTTGGGCCCTGGAAGTTGGCTCTTGCACCACACTGCAAAGCCATGGTGATGTAGGAACCTCGATGTCATAGGCTTTTGATAAGAGTGGGGCTCCTAAGTCACTTAGGAACAGCCCCCCAGAAATATTCAATCACCTGAACATTAGTTAAGTGTTTATTATATTCAGGAACCTTTGAAAAATCCATTACCTGCATGTTCAGCTACAAGGAGACCTTTACAATCTGGCTTTTATGCTTTGTGGCACTTCACAGAGTAATCTACAAATATCTTAAAAACCTGAGGCTACTGCTAAGGATACTCAAGTACCTGAGATACCTTTAAAACTTTTACCCTTATTAGTTTTCACGGTTGGGAGCTTATGTTAGAATAATTAGAAGCCTAAGACGATTTAGGAAGAAATCATTTGTGTGCTGAAGAACACTGCAGAAGCATTACCTTTTAACAAATTTGTTCTGCTGTTTTTCAGGTAAAGGTGATGTGTTTGGTGATATCTTCTGGAAGGAAACCAGTCTGGCCCACGCATGTGCCAATGTACGGGCTCTGACATACTGCGATTTACATATTATTAAACGAGAAGCCTTGCTTAAAGTGTTGGACTTTTATACTGCTTTTGCAAACTCCTTCTCAAGGAATCTCACGCTCACCTGCAATTTGAGGAAACGGGTAAGGCGACAGCTCTTGTTTTCCCCTTTCTCTCACCAACAGATTGCACGCTCTTGCAGACTGTTTGCAGTGTTTAGCAACCCCCAATTTACTCTTGATGTTTTCAGGTCATTGCAGATTAGCTGGCTTTTCAATAAATGTTGTCGCTGTTTGCTAATGATGGCTCAATAAAAGTTTCCCGTAGATTTGCAGCTCTGAGAAGCAGTCCTAGCAGGGTGACATATGAATTACATTTCTTTTCCTCTTCTTCACAGTTGCTGCGTTTTGGCTTTTTTTCCCCATTGCATAATCTATAAAGTTATGTTTTATAGTCTGATAGAATCCAGATTCTGGTTTCCTCAGAGGTGAGGTTTCGTCTCTCACATGCTAAGATACAGGTCGGAGGACGGTCTGATGGATCTGCATGGCATAGACCAACTGGGCGTAATTTATTGATGCTAAATAAATACAATGTACTCAGCAAAAGTATGTTAATACCTGCATCTCTCACTTGCATAGTTTAGAATTTTAATATGGCAAGGTTAATAAAGCTTGGTAGCATTTTTACATTCACAGCTCACTTCTTAAACCCTCCTGCTCATTTTATAATCAATCAGCAATGCTCACTATCCATTAGTCCTTTCAAAGAACACTCCATCTAAAAATTAATTAGCTGTAAGGACATATCTTGAAAACAGGTTAAGGGATTCTTTAATTCGCATTGCGGCTGCAAAATTTAATCTTTATGATGGTTTTTTTAAGATTGATGAGGGTTATATAAATTTCATTTGCATAGAGAAATCTCATAACAATGATTTATAGATTATTGAGCATTAACTGTGATCCTCTAGCTGCTGAAACGCATTTTTCTGCAGCTGTACCTAGGGCATCTCACCTGACAACGCACCAAGGCTACCTCAGTATTTCACAACACAATTTCAGCCTCTACAGTAACAGGAGTTCAACACAACTAGAATTTTACTTTTCTGAGTCTTGTTTCTTTCTAGCTACTGGAGCATCTTACAAATGCTTCTTTCAAAGAAGTTAATTTTTAGTGCATTCCTTGTGCTCATTAATATACCGAGTACGGCACAGAATACCCATGGCAAAAAGCAGATGCGATGGGATTACAGTCCCCCTCTCTGCTGGAGCCTGAAAGAGCTGAATTATAATCAGGTTTGGTTCCAGCATGTCAGCTTACCTCTGACTTGGAGCTTGTTAACTCAGCTTCAGACCTGAAGGAGGGCTTTGGAACTTGAAAGCTGGTTTGGGGTTTCTACACTTCTCTGTTGATAAGACATCCTCGAAGCCTTGACTTCAGCGTCTCCCCCTTGCCACCTCACCTACCTGCGGCATGCCGTCAGCTACAGTCCCACGATGATAATTCTGCTCAGGCATTGCTGATGGAGATTTCATGGGACAAGGTAATGCCACATGCATTATGCCAAAATGTATTCTTTCCTTCTTAAAACTGTGAACTTGTCATTTCAGCTAGCTTCCTGGGACTCCCCTTCCCCCAGTAGCCATGACAAGGTTGTGTACAGTGACAACATGTACAGATCTTTTCCTGACAGGGCAATGTGCTGGAGTTCACCTCTGTAGTTCAGGGATGCGTATGGAGAATAGCCTCCTGCCTGGATTTTCATGGATTTTCTTCTTTTCCACAGACCTTTTTTAAGGAAAATTGGTTGCCCTGCAGGGCCCTACCAGAGGGAGTCACCCAGGTGGAAACACTTGTGGAGCTCAGGTCCCCAGTACAGATATCTGCTGTATAGTTGTAGGTGCATGGACTTTGCCATGGGGGCAGTGACTCAAAGCAAGAAGGAACAGCACTTCTAAAGAAATGTTGGATTTTGCAGAAGGAAGGGAGATGTTGATGGGGTTGAAGAAAGGTCATGTCACTGTGATACAGGCAAGGAGCAGTTCACTAATAGCTGGGTGATGATGTCCAAGCTAGTCACCAGTTAGCTTTATAGCCCATAAGGAATGGTTCTTCCAGAAGGCAGTTCTGGCCCTTCGTCAGTGCCCAGTCTGGGATGGGAAAATCATCCCTTTTCTGTTGACTTTTGAGAGAGTCCTTGATCACTAACTTTTAAATACCTAGGGTACATCAGATGAACTCCACCTATGATGTCTCCTACAGTTTTACTCAAGAACAGTTTTGGGAAAAGTCTTACTTCTAGTATTGCAGTAAGTTGTGCTGAGCCGGAGTCTGGTTTGCAGAAATTCTGTGTGTTGTTCCTAGGCACAAAATAGATCATGCTGCTTTCGACACCAGGGACACAATTGAAGTCCTGTTACATAAAGTTATTCAGGGGATTGTTTCAAACCTCCTATCTACCAAAAGTATACGTGATTCCCTGTTGGGCACAGAAGTGTTTGATGGCGAGTTCATCTCTTAAGAAAAGCACTGCCATCCAGGACAGTTTCATCAGGCGAACAGAAAGTAGCTGTTCAGGCAGTGAGACTGGGCTGACAGAGCTGCACTGTACTGCAGCAGTTTGTGCTGGAGTCGTTTAATCTAAATGGAAAGAAAATCATTGTCTCCTTTAATTGATTTCAATAGAAATATACTTAGCCCTTTTTCTATGTAGTCATCACTTGTAAGGTTTGACATTTAATTATAACAAAAATACTCTCCTTGCGGTTCTGTGCTCAAGAAAATGGATGTTCTCACTGTCAAAAATATATAGACAGAATCGTTCTTTCATCAGGTCTGCTCTTCAAAATACGCATATATGTATGTGGTGCTGCATTGTCCCTCAACAAGCACTTAGATGTAGTCCATAGACTGCAAAACAATTTAGACATTCAAAAGGCTAATAAACTAATAATAGGACTGAGCACAAAAGGTTAGTTCCACATGACAGGGAAGAGAAAGTCATGCTGAAGTGGGAAAATAATGTTTTCTCACTCCCAAATAACATTTAGAGGCCTGGCATGTTGAATGACCTACTTAAGGCATCTGCTCAGCATGCCATTATCAACTCTGGATTTTTGTTTTCTTTTTTTGTGTGTTAGGTAGCTCAGCCATCACGCTGCATTTCTGAGACCTTAAAGTGAGCGTGTCTGCTAGCTTTTCAACCTGCAGTCATCTCTCCTGCCTAGGGTGGTGAGATGACTTTTAATTGGTAATTGCAAAGTATTGCAGCATATCATGTTTCGTGCTCTGAAATCTTTATGGCTTATCTAACGTCACTAATGCACACTCCAAGGCAGACTCAGGACTTTGAACCTTTTTTTTCCAAACAGGGAAAAATAATTAATCTGGAAAGATATTCTTTAAAATCACAATGAGATTACATAGCCGCCTCTGAGGATTGAAAGTTATAAAGCAATGTTTAGGATGAGTCTTCAAAGAGTTAATTACTGCCTTCTGATGTTGGAAGAGAATATTAATAATGTCGAATTCATTAAGTGCTTTTCAAGATTTCACACAGCTGGAGGAGGGCCTCTCTGCAAGCTTGAGCCATGGAGCTTGGCCTGAGGAGGGGAACCAAGACAGATTTCTAGGAGGCTCAAACCCATATAAATAAATATACATTTTATTGATGATCAAAATTCAGGAAGGAAGGTCTACATCAAGCTACCAAATGTGTTCCCACAGAAAACACCTGTTCAGCAGAAATCTGTAAAGGTTTTGTTTTCCTTTTCTCATCATTGCTTCCATTTGCACCAGCTAATGCACCATCTCCAGCTAACTGCTAGACCAACATTGCCTACGCAACTGCAAGAAACAATCAAACTGAAATTTTGGCCCTTCTGAAATCAAAGCTAAAATTCTCCTGTGCTTCAGCAATAGCAAAGATTTCCCCCACAGCTTTTAAGGTATATGGTCACATACTGCTGTTTTCTACCATGAGCAAAATGAGCTGTTTTAAAGAACTGAGGCAGGAGCAGCCAGGGAAGAGGACGGTTTTCTGTAGAGGACCTCTGCCACATTTGCTCCTGGAAGGTGTGCTGGAGAGTGAGCCAAGGAGATGCGAGGAGAAAGGACTGCGTCTAAGGCAGTGAAATGCCATCCAGACAGGTTTGGTTCTTTTCCCTATGATGCTCTTAAAACCAGGGACAACACTGTGAGTGACTGATGTTATCTAATTCCTCCAGCACAGTGTGAATCTCTGAGGCTTTTTAGCGGGTGAGGCTATCAGACTGTCTTACCACACATGTCCTGTTTTTCTTTGTATTACAGATCAGAATAATTTCTTTTTAAATTGGCTTTCTGTTTCTGCTTCAGGTTTCAATGAATTGCATGTTGTTTCTTGACTGAATCACTCGTCATTTCTATGTCACATAGGTTTTAGAAAAGCCTTATTTTAATTTGAATTCTGCGTTTGTGTCTCCTAACAGTGAAGGTTGTACCAAGGTTCATTCAGGATCCCCCTTCTTTTTTCATTTTTAAGACTCTCCAGATGGCGTGCTATATTAGCGAGTGTCCTGATGCAGAAGCAATGTCAGAGGCAGAAAGCATTGCTCTGCGTATTGGCCCTTGCTCCTGAAGGTTGCACATGTTCTGGTGAACCTGAGGACTTTCACAGGTTTTGAGCTCTGAAAGCCATTCACAATTACAGCAGCTTAATTCAGAGCTGTTTGCACTTTGCCAGCTGGTGCTCACGCTCAGTCCTCATCAGTTGTGGTGAGTGACTTGCTCACATGGGAAGGGATCAGAGCATCGCCCTTGGGTAACTCTGGCAAACAGAAAGGTGTGGGGTAACATGCTGAGCACCTCCTCTGCCCGATGGTCCATCTGCACTGGCAGGTTTTTCACCTTTTCTGAGTCTGTTAATGAGAGCTTTCTCCACATGGGACAACGACGATGGCAAAACCTATCTGGGAAAAAAGAAGTTTTTTCATCATTATTAATGAAGAGAAGCAGGGGAAAAACACGTGCTGCTTAGGGAGCTGCTGTGACTAATGTAGGTCAGCTGGTGGGGGCTTCAGTGGGGTCCTGGACTCCCGTCCTGCGATATGGAATGTGCCCACCCCCAGGCTGGTACTCAGTCCTCATGCATGTCTCACTC